TCGGCGGGCGGGGTGGGGGAGGTGCTGAGGAGTCCTTTTTTGCATCTAGTTAAGCATTTTTTATTCACTCATAAGTAGTCTATTTTTGAAATAGTCCTATGTGCTGCTGAGAAGTACGTGTATTTTGTTATTTCATGGACTACTCTATATATCTATAAAATACATTTGTTTAAAGGTTTGTTTCAACTTTGATATTTCTTTATTTTTTTGTTTTTTGTACAGTTGACCAGTCTGTTTGTGACAGTGGGGAATAAAGTTCTCCAAATATAATTGTGATGATGTTTATCTGGTTTTTCATGTCCAGTAGTGTTTGTTATATGAGTTTGGAGTGTTGATGTTTGGTCAATGTGTGTTTATATCTTTAGCTGACATAAACTTTGTGTCATTTCCAAGATCATCAGGGTATTTCACTCTCTTATTTCTTTTTGCATACTAATTTCTCTTCCTGTAAGACATGTTTCTAGCCACTTTTGCTTAAAGAACTCATAGGTGTCTTTTTTCCATATGACTTCTATTACGATATCCTTCTTGACTGTTAAGAAGAATCAGCACACATTCTTTTGTATTCACACTGTGTTGTATGGAGAAGTCTGTGAATGACCATGCTGGTGCAGACATTAAAATCCTTAGAGTCCAACAACTTTATTACATACTTGTCATCATCTATTAAATTCCAGCAAAATCCTGTAAATTCTGATACTTTTCTGTATAATGGCCATCACAGACCATGACTTCCTGAAAGGTACAGATTCTGAAGTCAGTTCTGAAGCATTAGTTTCACTTAATTTTTCTCCCTAGAATTGTGTTTTGGCAAATAAATAGATGCAATATCTTTAGGATTTTTATTCTCAACTTCCTAAAAACATTACTTCCAAAGGAACAAGATACTTTGGAGAACAAAATCCATTAAAATTTTTCTATGCTACATGTTCTACATTTAACAAAATTAAGGGAAAACTAAATTTCAGGGACAAGTGTTTAGCTTATGCATCCCCAGAGGGAAAAATAAGACAACAGCAATTCTTCACTAATACTGAAAATGAAAATACACAAGATAATTCTTTCTGACTGTTCTTAATTACATTTGTTATTACTGAGGCAAAGTACTCAGCACCCAACGTTAAAGGAGAAAAGGTTTACTTTGACTCATAGTTTGTAGAGGTTTCAACCGTAATTGACTGGCTCCAAAGCAGGGTGACGTGGCAGAGAGGCATACAGATAGCGAATAGACAATGGCAAAGTAGGGCAGGTAGAGGGGACATGGCAAGCAGAAAGTAATGACCTA